AAAAAAAAAAAAAAAAAAATTTTTAAAAGAACAAAATAGAATAAAATCCCTCCCCTAAGCAGTTTTCAATAGAACGTGAGAAAAAACTCTAAAGCAGAATTTGGAATAAAGCAGTCGTGCAAAACATTAGAGAATCTCGCACGGATGGCAATAATTATTCCCAGACGAGAAGCTGGGAAAAACTTTTAGGGCAAGGAGGCATTTGAGATAACCAACGTAAAGGATGGATAAGAGAGAAATACCAGCAACAGACATTTAACACAGAGACAGTAGCTGTGAGCGTTGCCCTACAGCAGAGAAGTCAAGGGTGGGTTAAATGACTGAGAAGGTTAGATGAAAGTACGATGTAAGAGATACAGCTGACAAGGTGAGTTGTGGTAAGATCATGGAGAGCTACGAATGCTGTGCTGAACAGTGCAGATTTTATTTAGTATACAATGAGAAACTTAAAGATGTACAGTTGGACGTAATTCACATAGGCGTGATATTTTAAACTAAGCATGGATTGGATCAGGAGTCAGCACACTTTTTTCTATTAGGGGCCAGATAGTAAATATTTTAGGATTTGCAGTCTGTTTGATCTCTTTCACAACTACTCAGCTCTGCCATTGTAGCTCAAAAGCAGTCAAAGACAATAAACAAAAGACATGGCTTTGTTCCAATAGAACATTTTTTATGGACATTGAAATTTGAATTTCACATAGTTTTCACGTATCATAATACATTCTTCTTTTAATTATTTTTCAATCACTTAAAAATATAAAAACAGGCTGGGTACGGTGGCTCACGCCTGTAAGCCCAGCACTTTAGGAGGCCAAGGCAGGTGGATCTCCTGAGGTCAGGAGTTTGAGACCAGCCTGGCCAACATGGCAAAACCTGTCTCTACTAAAAATACAAAATATTAGCCAATCGTGGTGGCAGGCACAGGTAATCCCAGCTACTCAGGAAGCTGAGGCAGGAGAATTGCTTGAATCTGGGAGGCGGAGGTTACAGTGAGCTGAGATCACACCATCGCCCTCCAGCCTAGGCAACAGAGCAAGATTCCATCTTAAAAAAAAAAAGGGCCGGGCGCGGTGGCTCACGCCTGTAATCCCAGCACTTTGGGAGGCCGAGGCGGGTGGATCACGAGGTCAAGAGATCGAGACCATCCTGGTCAACATGGTGAAACCCCGTCTCTACTAAAAATACAAAAAAAAATAGCTGGGCATGGTGGCGCGTGCCTGTAATCCCAGCTACTCAGGAGGCTGAGGCAGGAGAATTGCCTGAACCCAGGAGGCGGAGGTTGCGGTGAGCCGAGATCGCACCATTGCACTCCAGCCTAGGTAACGAGAGTGAAACTCCGTCTCAAACAAACAAAAAAAAAAAGTATGTGTATATATATATATATTTATATATATAAAAATTCTTAGCTCGAGGGCCATTAAAAAGCAGGCAGTGAGCCAGATTTGCCCTACAGGCCATAGTTTGCAGACTGCTAGATTCGACTGCAATGAAAGAGAAAATACAGAAGCCTTGCAAGTTCCTTCAGGTTGCTGTCACAGCTCCCTGGGCTTACCTGCGTGGAACATTTATCATCACACTAAACCATGACTGCCTACTTACTTGTCTTTCTCCTGCAAAAGTCGTGTGCTATTTGGAGCCAGGCAATGACTGTGTGCAACTGTTCATTTGTTCACTTAGCAACTTTTATACCAGTTTTACACCAAGTACTGTGAAAGGTGCTAGAGACACAGTGGGAGCAAATCAGATGCAGTCCTTCCTCCTATAGTGCCTACAGTCTAGCAACAGATATAAATATTAAATAATCACATAAAGAAATAAAAACTTTCCATTGTGATCATGCTGTAAAGGAAAATTACAGGGTGCTATGATAGAATGTATCAGAGATGCCTAATTTCAGTTGGAGGAGTTGGAAGACCTTTGTAAGTAAGTATTATTTAAGCTGAGTCTTTAAAAACAAGTAGATTTTAACCAGGATGTGGCAAAAAATTAGCCTAATGTTCACTAATCTCATTTCCTCTTCCTGGACATACAGGAAGACTTTTTTTCTTCTTCATCTTCTTTTTTTTCTTAACTCCTTTGCAGTTAGGTTAGGGTCATATGACTACGATCTGGCCAATGGGGTATGGTCAGGCCTGATTGGAATCATAGATACCATTTTCAGGCCTGACCAGAAAACGCCTTGCATAATCATTCACATTCTCTTCTCTTCCTACTGCTACAACAAAGGCCACATCTTTAATGTGGGCATGCCACAATCTGGAAGGACTCTGAACCCCTGAGTTTCCACTTAATTCTTTAAGGAGATACCTAACCTATATCAGACTGTGAAGTGAGCAATAAGTAAGCCTTTTTAGGCATAAGCTACTTGGATGGGATGATTTGCTACCAAAGCATACTCTAGCCTATGCTATTCCATATGTGAAATATGGAGGGATCAAAATTTTTGGAAGATGTCCTGAGGCAGGCAAAGAGCCTATTCTATGGAGAGAATGTCAATGGAGCCTAAAGCAGTAAGTAAGGGATAAGGTTAGGGAGGTAGGCGGAGGCCCAATCATGAAGTATGTGGTTGCTCTCTTTAATATTTTTGGAGTTATCCTGTGGGAAGTGGGAAGCAATGGAAGGAATTTACACACAGGAATTGCGGTAGTATTTTCAGAAGGTCACTGAAGTTAGTGTTCGGAGACTGCGCCAGAGAGGGCAAAATGGGATGCAAGAGACCAGTTAGGAGACTATCACTGTAATCTGGGCAAAAGATGAGAGTGGGTGCAGTAGAGCTGGAGGAAATGGAACATTTCTAGGTTTATATTTTGAACTTGAAGAATTAGATTTGGTGAGAAAAAAGGGAATATCTGAAAAAAAGGAATCACGTGGGATACCTAAAAATGACAAAATAGCCAGGCGCGGTGGCTCAAGCCTGTAATCCCAGCACTTTGGGAGGCCAAGGCGGGTGGATCACGAGGTCAAGAGATCAAGACCATCCTAGTCAACATGGTGAAACCCTGTCTCTACTAAAAATACAAAAAATTAGCTGGGCATGGTGGCGTGTGCCTGTAATCCCAGCTACTCAG